AGAATTATCAAAAAAATTATTTCCAAATAATTAATTTATTCCTATTTTCCAAAATAATCGCTTTGCCTACTCAAATTTCATTACATTGGCAAAGAGTTCACTCTTAATATAAGTAACATAAGTATCAAAATTCACCTATTTAACGAATACTATATTTGACGTCAAAATTGTCAAAAAATTATTTCCAAATAATTAATTTATTTCCATTTTCAAATTCCTTATTTCAAATTTCATTACATTCGTAGAGTTTACTCGTGATATAAGTAACATAAGTATCAAAATTCACCTATTTAAGGAATACTATATTTGACGTCAAAATTGTCAAAAAATTATTTCCAAATAATTAATTTATTTTCATTTTCAAATTCCTTGTTTCAAATTTCATTACATTCGTAGAGTTTACTCGTGATATAAGTAACTCAAGTATCAAAATTCACCTATTTAAGGAATACTATATTTGACGTCAAAATTATCAAAAAAATAATTTCCAAATAATTAATTTATTCCTATTTTCCAAAATAATCGCTTTGCCTACTCAAATTTCATTACATTGGCAAAGAATTCATTCTTAATATAAGTAACATAAGTATCAAAATTCACCTATTTAACGAATATTCTGAATTCGTCAAAATTGTCGAAAAATTAAACGCATAATCGCTTTTTCCTATTTCGAATTCTTTCATAATTTCATCACACTATGAAAAAACTCTTGCTCTTAAATAAAGCGACGACTAGTTGAATATCCGATCGAAAGAAACGGGAAAGAAGGAAAGATATTGTTCGGCAAGTTACCATCGAGAGAATAGATCGCGATTCCACTTCGTAGTTATACATTCAGACCGCGTCCGGACCGGTCTTCCTTCTAATAACATCACGCATTCCGGATGTCTTTGCATCTCGTTTCATTCGGCTTAGCCCTCGGTGTGAATCCTTGCACATCCCTCGGTCACGTTTTCGCACGGAAAGATCCCTTCTTCCCACGCCAATTTCGAAAATCTTCCCTGATCGTCGAACCCCCAACCTCGCGTGTATTTATGCAAACTCCTCCACGCGAGAAACTTGGACGAATTTATAATATTGTTACGTCGAGGAAACAAGGGGCTGAGGAAAATTTTAACAACGGCAGTTATCGAGAGAATTTGGATGAATTGTCTTTTATCTTATTATTTTAGTGAATGTTAAAAAATTTGAATATTCGAATTTGGCGCCGTTGAAAATCTTCGAGTATTCATGGCTGACGTCACGATAACTGTTTTACATTGAAGTCGATTGAAATTTGGAAAATGAAAAGATAGATAATTAGATAGATGATGGATAAAGATTAGGAACTAATATTTCGCACGAATCGGGGAACTATGCTGTTGGATAAGATATTGTTATATTCGGATTTGGTGCCAATTTTCGATTTTTTTATATTAAAAAATCATAATAATATTATTTTCCTCTTTTATCGATTTTAAAAAGAATTTCAAATTTTCGACGATTTATTGACTGAATAAATGCAACGAATCGAATTAGTGATTATTTTTCTGCTGGATTTTAATCTCGTTTGACAAGGGAGGTTTCGCCCCTTGGCTCGAGAAACGGAATTAAAGCGACCATTAAGGCGCCACGAAATAGAATCGGTCTCGATTCTTTGCTTTGGATGAAATTGTGATTCGTGTTAAGAAGTAACTTTTTAACTTCCACCCCCTCTTTTTTTCCCCACAACAACATTTCAGAGATCACGAGAAGAGGAGGGAGCGCTTTGCTTCTTTAATTCTTTTTTTCTTCGAAACGAATCCTCAAAGAAGCGAAACAACTTGTCGTCAAAGTTGAACGATATACCGATTCAAATATTTATAACTCTTGCTTCCGATGAATTATTGCGAGGATGCTTCATCGGTGTATTACACCGTTGAAAATAATTCAAGAAACGGTGAGAACGTTTCGCAAAGGAGTAAGTCCATTTCTCCCGCTCCATTTATCCTTTCTTGAATTTTAATCGTCCTAAGGCGGTGCCAGGACGAACCGAATTCGAACAGAGGTGTTTCCTCCTTTGATTTTGATTCAGCTTCCCTGTTCGAGAACGACGATTTTCACTCGTCGCTTGTTAACGCGGATCCCGTTATCCAGGATGCGATTTCTTCGCTCTGCAGAGTGATTAAAGGACGGAAGAACGAGATTGAAACTGGTACGAGCGTAGATGGACAAACGACAGCAAGAACAGCGTTTGAGGATCGACCTAGTGCATACAGCTAGCGATGGATATAAACGATCGATCAGCAGGACAAACAATATTTTTTGGAAATGGATTCAACCATACTTTAATTTTTATCCTGGTAAAATTTCTAGGAATAATTTTTGAAATCTTGGAAATTTTGGAAATGAAATAATGACAATCTTTGGATTAAGAATGAATACTTTAATTTCAATCGAATATCCTGATAAAATTCCGGGGAATAATCTTCGAAATGTTGGAAATTTTGGAAATGAGATGAAACTTTGGATTAAGAATAGATATAAACGATTGATCAAGAGAACAAACAATATTTTTGGAAATGCAACGATACTTTAATTTTTATTCTGATAAAATTGCTGGAAATAATCTTTGAAATGTTGGAAATTTTGAAAATGAGATGACAATCTTTGGATTTAGCGATCAAGAGGACAAACAATATTTTTGGAAATGCATTCAACGATACTTTAATTATTATTCTGATAAAATTGCTGGGAATAATCTTGCAAATGTTGGAAATTTTGAAAATGAGATGACAATCTTTGGATTTAGCGATCAAGAGGACAAACAATATTTTTGGAAATGCATTCAACGATACTTTAATTATTATTCTGATAAAATTGCTGGGAATAATCTTCGAAATGTTGGAAATTTTGAAAATGAGATGACAATCTTTGGATTTAGCGATCAAGAGGACAAACAATATTTTTGGAAATGCATTCAACGATACTTTAATTATTATTCTGATAAAATTGCTGGGAATAATCTTCGAAATGTTGGAAATTTTGAAAATGAGATGACAATCTTTGGATTTAGCGATCAAGAGGACAAACAATATTTTTGGAAATGCATTCAATGATACTTTAATTTTTATTCTGATAAAATTGCTGGGAATAATCTTGGAAATGTTGGAAATTTTGAAAATGAGATGACAATCTTTGGATTAGCGATGGACGATCAAGAGAAACAATACAAACAATATTTTTGGAAATGCATTCAACGATTATCGAATATCCTATAATAAAAGATAAAATTGCGGGGAATAACTTTCGAAATATTGGAAATTTTGGAAATGATATTTGGATACGATTAGGAAACATATTTACTTCGAAACTCTAATTATATCGAAGAAGTAACTTTGGAAACATATTTAAAATTTATTGATAGATATCCCTAGCAATTTTTAGACACGATTAGCGATGGTTAAACGTAGGATCGACTCACGAAAATTCACGAACTCACCGATTTTTATCCGATCCTAAGACAAAATCGCGAGAGGGAAACGAACTTTTGTTGAAACTTTTTTTAAATTTTGCCGAAAGATTTTCGTGTATACATCGAAAACAGGAGAATGTTTGGACGCGATTAGCGATGGGTACGAACGCTCGATCAACATAGTTCAATTCGAACGGAATTGGACGATACCTCCGCTACTTTTTCCTGATGGAATCGCGAACCCTCCTCTCGAAACTTGGAAAACGCTTGAAACTTTCTCGAACGGGACGGCAATCTTTTAAGAATGAAATTGGCCGAGAAGTTGGAGCAGGAAAGGAATCGAATGGCCATCGCTATGCACGGTCGCGAGGCTTGCGCCAACTCCATCACCACCACCACCACCACCACCACCACCACCACCGCTACCAGGCAAACGCGCACCTCGACTCCGTTCCACCTCTACCGCCTCCATCAGTCGACCCCGTGCAACGCGGCTCGCCGGCCGCCGCGCGAAAATTTTACCCTCTTGCCCGCCTCGATCTGCGCGCGATCCCTTTGTTCGCCTTTCCGCGACGCAGTCGCGCGTCCTTGCGCATCGTCCTTTTTTTTTTACCGGCCAGTGATCGAAACCGCGCTCTCCTCTTCCATCCTTCCAACGAAACCACCACGAGACCACCGAGACGAAGAAGAAGAAGAAGAAGAACAAGAACAAGAAGAAGAAGAAGACGAACGAAGAAGATAATTTCGAGAGAGAGAGGAAAATAAAATAAGAGGTGATATCGAGCGTGCGTGTATACATATATATATACATATATGTACAAAAATTGTTGTATACAATCCATATATACATACATATATAGGTGCGTGTTGTAAGGTCACGGTGAATTGGATAGAGCGACGAGAGTGAGAGAGGAGGGACACGGCGTGGTTAGAGAGCGGAGGCGAACGGAGAGGAGGATT